CTTCAGGCCATCCTTCCTCATTATATGCCCCAGGAACTTCAGCTGCCTCTTCCTTGTTTGCATCCTATCTAAGACCTCATCATTGCTCACGCGCTCGGTCCATAATATCCTCAACATCCTTCTTAGCCTCTAGTCTCTTCTTCATCTTTGAGGAAATCTTCCAACATTCGCTGCAGTAAAGAAAGACAGGTGACATGTAATAGCTCAGTATTCTTTTTTTTTCTGTTATCAAAGAAATCCTCCTGTCTCGCAATACTCTGTTCAGCTTTTGGAATGAGTCCTTGGCCATCCCAAAATGTCTACGGATCTCAGTGTCGCACCTACTGTTCTTTGTCAAAACGTTTCCCAGATATTTAAACTTCTGTGTCTGCTTCACTCTAGTGTTCTCGACCTGAAAATCGCATTTTGGGCTCATCCTTTTACTGATGACCGTACACCCAATACTCTTACGAAAACTCGTGGCAGAATGAACAGTTGAAAACCTGTTACTGTTGGAGATTTTTGACTGATTTATTTTTTACGCCTTATCAATCTTTTGCAAGTTTTTTTATTTTTTATTTTTTTAAACCTAAAACATTTTTGGAGATAATAATAATTTAGGGATACAACTCATAGCTTGGAGAGAAGAGGTGGATTCATATCTTAAGGGCATTTGCGAGTAAGTGAATATAACGAGACTAACGGGAATTAGACCTCGGCTTTGCGATTAACAATTCCGAGCCATTATCCATTACACCACCCGCACATCAAGCGCACCACACATGGTATTACCAAGTGGTCACCCATCAACAGGCTCAGAATTTGAACTCGGTTTCCGATTAACAATTTCGAGCCATTATCCATTGCGCTTGGTATTTCCAAAGAGCTACTGACCAAGCTCGACGTTGCTTAACTTCGATGATCGTATTCTCTCTCATTTTCGTACCATCATTCTTTAAAATAACTACAGTTTTCGTCATATTTCACCGAATATATATGTTACTAGCAGTAGAACCCGGCGTTGCCCGGGGATGTAACAGTAAGAGATAGATCAAGTATCGTCCATCATAAAGACTGAAAAATAAAATTGACAAAGATCATTGTTTAAGGTTGGCGGACACGCATATCTTAATTAGTTTTTTCTTGTTTTTTTTTACGAATTGGTCAAACCCAAACTCAAACAAAAACATTGTTTTCAATCGTTATGAGTGTACCGATTGAAAAGAATTTTATTATAAACAATTGTCTTGTAAATGGAATTTTTAAATCATTCTGAATGTAAAAATAAAGAAAAAAGTGTGCAAGACAATAAGAAACACTACCTGGCAAAAAAAGGTGTAGGAAATCCGATCCCATATATAAACGAACACACAAACACACACACACAAACAACCTGGGTTTTATAATAAGTATAACTCGATATGAGTTGTCCCCCTTTCATTCTCGCGAGGACTCTTAATCGTGTTTTCAAATTGATTTCGTGCAAAAACAATTGTGTTTTTTCTAATTTTTGGCGCTGTCAGAACCACTGCAAGGTAATTTTACTTAGTCCTGTGAAGTTTTGTTGAAATCGGTTGAAAAATGTAGGAAATCCGATCCAATATATAAACGTACAGACACACACACACACACACACACACACACACACAACCAGGGTTTTATAATAAGTATGATTATATTACGTTTGTTACTGCTACTACGGCTGATACATACACATATACGCAATCAACTTAAACATCATCTTCTATATTAAACATTTACATACACAAAAGAAAGGAATTTTATCCATACTAACAAATTTTTATTCTATGTGTCGCGTCCCTTCAGGAAGTAAGCGATCATGGCTCTTCAAATTTCCTTGTGATTTGTAGCGCTTAATAAATTTCGTCTTTTTGTTATTTCTCCTAACAGCTCTTCCGCCATCCATTTACTCAAACTAACTAAACAAATTAGATATCATTTTCCTCTGTCCCTTTTGCCTTCAATCTGTCCTGTGAGTAACAAATTTTCAAAGCCTTCTTTCTTCATAACATGGTCCAGAAATATCAACTGTCTCTTCCTGATATTAAATGTAAGTTTCCTTTTTGTTTCCATTTTCTCTAAAACTTTGTTGTTTCGTACATTTTCGTCGCATGGTATCCTCAGTATTCTCCTGTAGAACCACAATTCTGCTGTGTTAAGTCTCCTCTTCATCTGTGACGTGATCGCCCATCGTTCACTGCTATATAGAAGGAAGGATGTTATGTAACAGTTCAGTACTCTTTTCTTTGTTTTTAACGAAACATTTATGTTTCTTAATATGCTGCTTAGATTTTGGAAGGATCATTGGCTATCACAATGCGCTTTTGGAATTCATGTCGCACTATCCATCCTCTGTTAAAAGAATCCCTAGGTATTTAAATTTTTATGCGTGTTTTGTTTTGGTATCTTATTTGCATGTTGGGCTTTTCCTTTTACTAAGTTCCGTCATTTTGCAATTGAAGTTTAGACCTTTCTACACACTTTCCTTCATTACCTTCCTTAGTTCTTGTAGCTTTCTTTCCATGTCTGCTATCAAACATCGTATCGCCTGCTTATATCATGCTGTTAAGATTATGGCCATGGATACAAATAAAAATAATTTGACATTAGGATCGTCAAATAAAGAGATGGTATTTGTAAATATATTAGTTTGTTAACAAAACAAAATTGAAATTATGAATAAATTTGTCAGAGAATTTTTATCTTCAACAATCTTATTCTTCCATTTTCAAAATTGGTAAACCCGACGTGATCATATCGAAATAACCGTTTATACACACGCTCTAGTGTATCTGTATCGGAAAAAAAAGTTCCAATAGATTTCTCAAGATTATTCTAATTGTGCTTAAGACCACATCACTTTGAAGCATCGCTATTCGTATCATCACCGAAGTTAAGCAATGTTGAGCCTGGTTAGTACCTAGAAAGGTGATAACTGGGGAATATCAAATCCTGTAAGCTTGATGTGCGGGTAATGTAATAGATTTAGTAGTACTTGTATCACTAAATTATTACACAGCGACCTTCTTAGCCTCAGGTTTTCAACTGACTTGAAGTGGAGCGTCTATATCGAATCAATAGCTGCATCTACTGCAAGGAAATTTGGGTCACTGTGCCGTGCCAGAAAATTTTTTTCTCGGCAGAGTCCATCTTGGACATTTACAAATCTACCATTCATCCATGCATTGAATACTGATGCCATATCTGTTCTGGTGCTCCTGCTATTCATCTCGAGGTTCAGTCACTTTCTTACCGACGTGACGTGGCTTCTCTCTGTCTTTTCTACAAATATTTTCATGGCAGCTGTTCTAATGAGCTCTTTTCCCTGGTGCTCCGACTGCATGAATTTAAGCTAGTTGTCATCTAGCTCCCACCCGTTTACTGGTGAAATAGCTAAATGTAACTGCTACGTCTACTCCAACGTTTTCTTTCCTCGCACTTCCCTACTGTGGAACTCCATAACGCTTACTTGCTTCCCTGATAACTACAATCTTTGAAAATTTAAATGCAGCATTCATCGCCATCTTCTATCTACTTGAATCCCGTTCATCTTTTCTCCTTTCCTCAATCCTCCCTATACTCAGTTTTTTTTTCACTTTCACTCCCCGTAAACCCCTGCGTACTAGGGGCATTTCCGCCTTCATTGGGGTGAAAAAGAAAATGATTACCCCCCCAGCAAATTTTTACAACCTAAAAATATTTTCTAACTTTAAAGAACCTGCAAATGATTTCTGACATTAAATAACATAGAAAAGGTCGTTATATCGTTGATACGTCGTAAAAAAAATTACTCAAATCAAATTCTTATTGTGCATTGGAGTAGCTTCATTACAAACACTAAAGAGATCAAGGCATCCAGTCAAAAAAGACCAGTGATTTTTCTGCATGTGTGTGCTGATAAGGAGACCTGGTAACAAAACACTATCTTTTAAAGTATACAGCCGACTGCCGAAAACAGGCAACACCTTAAAACCAGAGAGAAAACAATTAATTGCAAATAATGGTAAATAATGGAATAAAATGTACCGTATTTATACGACTTTTGAATTAGCCTAATTTAAATTGGATCGTATCATACAAAATACATTTATACACAATATATAAAATTAACGTATCTACTGCTGGTCTTCGCTACGCCGTTGACCAAACTATATTTACTGTAGTCAAAAACTGCAGCTGTATTTAAAATAAACATCGCACATCACACGATCATATACGGTAATTGTAATTTATTTTAATAAAGTTGATAAACAAACGCGTAAATTCTCTTTGACTCAACTTTTAAAATGATATTTAAATTTTGCACAAATCGTTCTCTCTGCATGGATTGGATTTGTTGAAGCATTCGTGTCTTCAAAATTTCAAGAAATATCTACTGGGAAATGGAAGAAAGCTCTTTTTTAATTTGTTCGAACTGTGATATCCATCCTCTTATATGCCATTGCGTGTTGGTTAATTTCCCCAAGGATGAGGAAACAAAAACAACTAGATGCTGCATAAATGTGGGTCTCCAGAAGAATACTGACAATTCCATGGGCAGAGCGAGTCAGCAACGAGGAAGTCTTAAAGAAAATGGCAACAGAAATAACACTTGTAGTCAAAATCAGGAAAAGACAGCTGAAATTTCTTGGAAACATAATGAAGAAAGAGAGTTTGGAAAACTTAACACTCACATGGCATATTGAAGAAAACAAGGATAGGAGAAAGCAGAAATCCACTTATCAGACTAGCTTGCGCGAATGGATGGCGGAAATGGGGAGGCGAGGTTTTACAAAGGGAGAAAAGCTGCTTAGAGACACAGGAAATAGAAAGTTGGAGAGAGCCATGATTGCATATGTCTGCAAGGGATGCGGCACACAAAAGAAGACGAAGAAAAAAAACCCTGCTTTTGAATATCCTCGAAGGAGTTCCTGATAATCTTGAAGATTGTCATTTCTAAAGATAATCGACCTCTTGTTGAATCGAAGATTCCTGGTCGCTAGCCTTTCAGATATTGCTACTGAATGTCTAAGATCTCGTATTCATGAGGGAGAGAGAGAGAGAGAGAGAGAGAGAGAGAGAGAGAGAGAGAGAGAGAGAGAAGTCTCTCGTGTTTTGTGAACGAATTCATCTAAATATTAATATGCGAGTATGATGAAGGATTTATCAACGAATCATGTTGAGTGTTACAAAATTAAATTGATTTTTTTTCAAGATTGTCAGAATTAAATCTCGTTTCATCATCCTTTAGAAAAATTTTTAGTCGAAAGAAAATTTTGAACACAAACGCTTTTATTTTGTCCTTTTGGGCGCAAATATTTGGTAACCAATTCCTTACAAATGATTGATAATTCACTTTCATCAGAATATAGAGCTTCTAAGTTTTATATTGAATAAAAATATTTCGTACAAATTTTTTACTTTCATTTTTCAATATCATTTTAAATAATTTGTTTTTTCTTTATACTGTCAATAAGTATAGTGAATATCAAATAAGTATTTTATTTATAGAGGGCATTGAAGTGAAATAAGAGGTAGAATCAGAAAGCGATATTCGAAATTTCAAAGACACATATTGAGGAAAGAGGGTTTGGAATATTTGACACTCGCAAGAAATATTGAAAGCAAGGGGAACAGAGGAAAGCAGGCCGTAATAAACCAAACGAGCTTGTTTTGCAATCGTTGGCAGAAATATGATTAGAATATATAGCAAAAAGAAGAAAAAAATATTTTAAAAAGAGAAATAAATACAAATGATAGGAAGATATGGCGAACCATGATCGCGCATGCGCTTAAAAGACAAACCACATAGAAGTACTTGAAATAAAATTCTATTTAAGCAACAATGTAACTGTCAACTATTATTTAGTTATTAAGTATTTATTAGTATTTTTATTATTATTAATTAACGTTAACTAAGCATTGTCGATGGGAAACAAGAAATAATCCTCTCTCAAGAATTGAACCCGCATCATTTATTCTCATGTGTACCGTTTCAAAGATAAGGAATAAGAGATCAGATCTCGTCTGAGTTGCAATAAAAAGCAAAATAAATTAACCCTCCAAAATATGACTTAAAGATTAACAATATTTGAAAATGTTTAATCTGAGAAATGCGAATACTATTACATCTAATACTCCTAGAGTAGCGTGTTTAGTTATGCACGTAAATCTATCGATACAATAGGCGTATATTTTTTCGTTTCAAATCTTAGGTTTTGCCATGTTTCTGCGTTACTAATCAATGAAATTTATCAGATAATTGTATGCGGGATTTGTGCAGTACTTCTAAAAATGGAATTATCGCACAGAATTTTCATTGTAAATATAATTTACCTGCGATAACAAGAGCGCCTACAACAATGGTTATTCATATCACCAAATCACTTTACCATTTTCTATTCGAAAACCAAATTTGTTTTGACTTGGTTTTATTTCAATAAAAGATAAAATAATTAAACAAAAGCTCCATTTGTTCTACGGTTTGTTTAGTATTTTCGGACACTAGTTCTGCATGAAAATCTCTATCTATAAAAGGCAGGATGTGTGTGTGTGTGTGTGTGTGTGTGTGTGTGTGTGTGTGTGTGTGTGTAACGAATGCACGGCCGCAATTTTCGACGGATTTGCACCAAAATTTACATACACATGCTCCAAGTTAGAGGAAGGCCAAGACCCACGTTGCATTTCCCAGCTCCCATCGATAGTGGAAATAATCGATATTTTCATGCTTCTACAGCAGTTTTCATGTAGTTTTCGGCCATTTTCTACTAGCTAGAGTGAGAGCCTATAGTTGGATGCCACGAATAGGCAGGAAGATTCTATTGGCTAGCGTGAGAGCCAACAGCTGACTGACACGAATGTTAACTAGCATGCTAGCATGCAAAAAAAAATCGATAGCTGTATTCATCACAAGTGGGAAAAATTTAAATCTGCATGGCACTTTACTCCAATTGGCTCATTCACTTGCTTAAAGTTAAAGTTGATTCTGATTCCGCAGAACTGGGTTGGGTGTGAAAAAGTATTTGTTGTTAATATTCTTTTTTCATTCGGTTTTTTCAGTTACGAGTCCTTTTTTAAAGCTGATCGTTTTGTGTTTTGTTTAGTTCTTTTTTCGTAACAGATTTAATGTTTACTATAGAGCTTAGAAAAATTCGCAGTGTGAGATAGGCAAGAAGTAAGGCATGTAGCAACATCAGCACGGCAAAGGGCACTCGTTTAAAGGCAAGGAAGGGCAAAAATATTTTAAGTCAAGTAATAGCGATTGCTGTATGAGTCGTACGATTTTTAAATCAAGCACGGGCAACGCCGGGCCATGGTGCTAGTCAGCAATAAAAAGAATAGAAAAACATAATATAAAGCACGAAAACAATATATGCAAGGCAAATTAACAGTAATAAGGCAAAATGTTCATGAACTAAGAATTGGGGTTGATACATAAGAGCAAATTTATATAAACGAACATCGTGTTCTGACTTCAAGACAAGGCAGACTGGGACTGAGTCAGATAAAACCGATAACTTTTATTGGCTTCATTTTATTATGCTTAGAAATTAGTGAGTGGAAAGTATTTGGCATTCATTCCTATACTTTCAGGACATCAAATTTATATATTTTTTTGTAAAAAAACAAAAATGTTCCCTCCACAAAAAATATACATTCTGTATATTATAAATTTTTTGAATCAAGCACGGGCAACGCCGGGCCATGCTGCCAGTTGTCGATAATTTTAAAAGGATATTTGTTTGTCACACTGTAGAACAGTGGTTAGCATGCCATTTTCGTTGCCCATTGCCACTGTAAAGAGTATTTTTTCGCGCGCCCACGTGGCAGTGGAATGTAACACAAGGTCAGTTAGAAGTAGGCAATATATATGGAAAATTTGCTCAAATCTCCTCAGGCGCCGAGTAATAAACCCAGCCCCCTCCCAAAGGATAATTACCCCTTTTGCGGGGGTGGAAGGCACACCTGGGGCTTCAGTTTAATATTATTTTCACCTTTCCCCAGACCGAAGCGAACTTCGATAAAAGGTAATTAAGGAGTGAGATTCACATTTTTACCACGGACTTGTAGCTTTTTTTTCTAAGCTAAATATGGATTCCTGTTCTAAAGGTGAAATAGTTAGCTATTTACCCGGATGCCGAGAGTCAGTGTTCAAGCACAGATGGGCAGAATTCGATTGTTGGTTTATAAAGAAAGTATGCTTAACACGCGTATGAAACTGGCACTTCACAAGCTTGTCTTTTTTCTGTCCCTCATTTGTACAACAGTACTATATTTAACAATAATCCGTAATCTTCTTCTTCTTTGTGTTGTATCTCTTCCGCACGTTGGCACTCATGGCTCTCCACATTTTCCTGTTTTTGTAGCTCTTAGCATATTTTGTCTTTTTGCTATCTCTGTTCTGCCAACCATTTATAGAACCACGCCGGGTAGGTAATGTGTTATTTTTCTCTGTCCTTTTCTATGTCCTGTAAGTGTCAAATTTTCGCATTTTGCCTCCTTCATTGCGGGCCCTCGAAATTTCATCTCCTTTCTGCTTTCCTTTTCTCTAAAACTTTGTCACTGCTCACATGTTCTGTTATCATCAGCATCCTTCTGTAGTACTACATTCCTGTTGTTTCACTACTATACTTTATCTGTGAGGAGATTGTCCAGCATTCACTGCCATATAGGAGGACCGGTATTACCTAACAGTCCAGTAATCTTTTCTTTCTTTCTAACGAATGTTTACTGTTTTCTTAATACTGTTAAAACACTTGCCAGTTATTTAAAATTGTTGTATTTGTTTGAATTCTCTGCTTGCAAGGCTTTTCAATCAGCCGATATAAGCTGACCAGTTAGAGAATTCCGTTAAATGCAGCTAGTCGAAAGAAGAAATGATATAAACAAAATTAAGATGAGAGAGAGAGAGAGAGAGAGAAGAAGAAGAAGAAGAAGAAGACCCAGACTCGTTCCAAAATATCTGCTCCGTCTCTTCCCTGCCTGCCTCCCTAACCCCTGCCTAGTCAGAGGGCAGGTCTGTGTGTAGCAAAAGTTATTTTATTGCTTTTCCAGCGAGAAAAATGCTGCATGGAACTTTGACCCGATCTATTTAGGTATGAATTCGTCTGCAAAAAAGGTAAGCTAGCTGTCTATTTAGTGATTAGCTACTTCAGTAATTAAATGCGTAAAGTTTCTTACGGGAACATTTTATAGTACAGGAAATAATGATAGTGGAAAAAAACACATGTAAGAAATAACAGACCAACTGATTTGCAATGCAAATAATATTTATTAGACAAGTTAACAAAAGGAAAGCTTAAAATAAGACTTTCTTTGGTTAGACGTAAATCGTATAAAAAACGAAATGCTCATGAATATGTTTCAGTGGGAACTTACTTTGTTAGAGTGTTTTATGCGTGTAGCGTTCACAGCCCTTTTAGTTTCAGCGTGGAAAGTTCATGACACCAGTTCTAAAGACGAAAAACCCTAAAAAAATTATTAAAGATTTATTTTTCGGTTCATGTTTTTTTTTTATAGTCGAGAGCTACTGATGATATGAATTTTATTTTAGAGCTGTTACTGCTACTATTGTTGTTCATGATGACGGTCGTCTTTGAGTATAGAATCCAGAGGTTAGCAGTGAATATTTCGAAGACAGTAGGGAAACGTTGTTCAGGTTAGCAGTGTATATCCCGGTAAAGGTAGCAGAGAGTAGTTATTCCTTCTGTTTCTCTTCGCCTGACAAGCTGACACTGGACATTCGGATAGAGTAAACAAAATGGCCGCCTTTATACACGACGGATTGAATATTCTACGCCTTCTGATTGGTTAACCTTCTATTGGTGGACTATAAAGTGAGTCAAGTCATTTGGGCTAGCTCACTAGTACATATATATACACAAAACACTGCAACAACTATGTTTACAGTCACTAGATCTATACTGAATTTTATTTTAATGTATTCATATGTACCTACATATACTATATGATAGAAAAACACACACACGCGATTTTATACTTTCATTCCGATCGGAAGACGTTTACCAAACAAGCAGACATTAACAGCTTCAATGGGAATAGTATGCACCTCGCTAGGACGCATACAGCTTTTGAATTCACTCCTGTCATTATCCTACAATGGTTGGCAAA